CCGCGGCCGCGGTCGCGCAGCAGCAGCAGCAGCATCAGCAACACGTGGTCACGGTGAGACCGCTTCCCCGTGCGCTTTTTTTTGTTTCTCGATGATATCCACCAATCACGTCAACTCGTGACTGACACGTGTCTTCCCACCTCGACCAATAATACAATCACAGGACGCCACCGCGGGGACGATCCAGGCGCTCGTGACGGCGCATCACCAACAACAAGCCGTCATAAACCAGCAACGCGCGGCGCTCGTCCGGCAAGAGGCGCGTTCTATCTCACACTGGTTCCCATACGACCGCGTCGGCGTGGTGAACGCCGTTTCTTAAGGACTTTTCCCGTCGTCTCTCTCCGCCCAGGGTCCCTCGCTTTCAATCCCCGTCCTCGACGCCTTTCAACTCCGCTTCTGACGCCTTTCAACTCCACCCACAGGCGGCGATCGCCGCGCACCGCCGAGAGATGGAGCACGACGTCGGACGGCGGCTCGAGGACGCGGTCGCCGTCGTCGCGTCCACCGCGGCGGCGGTGGTCATGGACGACGACGACGACGACGACGTCACAGACGATCGGCCCGGCAAAGAGGGCCGTTGGGTCGTCGTCGGCGGCGACGACGGCGAACTCACGCGCGTGCGCGCGAGGGAGGGCGCGCCGGCGGCGGCGGAGAGAGACGGCGCGCTCGCCGCGGAGAGCGACGACCCGAAGGTGCGTTCTATCTCACACTGGTCCCCATACGACCGCGTTGGCGATGTGGACGCCGATCCTTAAGGACTTTGCCCGTCGCATCTCTCCGCCCACCCCTCCGTTTCAATACCCGCCCTCGAAGCCTTTCAACTCCACCTGACGCCTTTCAACTCCACCCCGACTTTCGCTTGTATCCCTAAACCCGAAGGTGCGCGCGCTGGCGGCTGAGATCGCCGTGGACTTGAAGGACCGCGGCGTGCCGCTGTCGAACGCGTCGCTGTCGATGGTGGCGTCGATTCAAAAGGCGCAACGCACGAAGGAGGAGCGCGAGCGAGAGAAGCTCGAGCAGAGGCGCGTTCTGTTGTACACTGGTCACCGTACGATTCCGCGTCGGCGCGGTGAACGCCGTTTCTTAAGGACTTTTCTCCCCGGCGTCTCTCTCCGCCCATCACCCCTCGCTTTCAATCCCGACACACCTCGACGCCTTTCAACTCCGCTTCTGACGCCTTTCAACTCCACCCCGACCCCAGACGACGGCTGGGGCTGGAGAAGGGCCCGCCCGGGAAGAGAGGCGCCGCGGCGGGCGCCGCCGTGGGCACGATGGAGCGCCAGATCCAGGCCGCGGCGGAGCATCGCGACGACGACGTCGGGTTGGGGATGCGAAGCGCGGTGAGGAAAGTGATTATTTCGTCGGGCGGCGGCGACGACGACGACGGCGGCGGCGGCGGCGACGGCGGCGGCGGCGACGGCGACGACGGCGACGGCGAAGCGGAGTGAACGACGAGTTCGATCACTCCAACGCGCACACGAAATGATGCACGCTTACCCTTCTTCATGTCGACGACATCACATCACATCACATAACATCACGGGGGAGAAGAGGACGGACTCAAACGGTCAACGGTGAACGGCGAAACGATGAGCTCACCGAACGGTTCACGGGGTTGACGGAGTTCGAAAAAAAACTGCGGAAAAAAAATACGCACTACACTAAATACGCACACGACACTACACGACTGGAGAGGCGGCGACGACCGCAGGGTATACACGAGCGGACGCGGAGGCACGCGCTGATGGTAATACCGGCGCGCGCCTCCGCGCCGCTCGCCCTATTGGGTGGTCGCCCCTACGACTAGTCATCACTTTAGATCTTTGACTGGAAGAAAAAAAAAATCCTTTCTTATGTCGCCTACAACTTACTTTAAACGCTCCACTCGTCCGCCTCGATCTCCTCCCTGAACGCCTCCAGAAACCTCGCGACGTCCGCCTCGTCGCACACGCGCGCGTCGGCGCTGACCGTCACGCTCGCGACGGCCTCGTCCCCCAGCGTCCCGTCGTCGTTCACGTGAACCCTCGAAGTCCCTCGCCCGACGGCCATGATCGCGCCCTGCGGCGGATTCAAAATCGCGCTGAAGTGGTCCACGGGGAACATCCCGAGGTTCGACACCGAGAAGCTCCCGCCCATGAACTCCGCGGGCTTCAGCGTCCCAGCCTTCGCCTTGGACGCGAGCGCGCGAACGGTCTCGCCGATGACGGTGAGACTTTTCTTATCCGCGTCGAAGACGATGGGCGTGATCAAGCCTACGATTGGTCGAGGGAAGACACGTGTCAGTCATGCGCGCACGTGATTGGTGGATATAATGATATCATCCCCACGTGTCAAAACAAACGTGAGGTTCACAGCGCGCGAAAGAAGTCCTCAAGAAACGACCATCGACGCGCGAACGGGATCGTATGGGCGGGAGTCAGAGTCTCTTTTCTCACCGCCGTCCGTCGCCACCGCGACGGCGACGTCGACGCTCGCCGACGTCTTCCCGACGCCTTCCGCGGCGTCGTACGTCGCGTTGACCTTCGGCGACCGCGCGAGCGCGCGCGCGACGGCGTACATCACGCAGTCGTTCACGCTCGCGCGGACGTCCACCGCTTTCAGCTTGGCTCGCAACGCGTCGACGGCGGCGAGAGAGACATCCGCGCCGACGAAAAAGTGCGGCGACTGAGGGTCGGGATGGAGTTGAAAGGCGTCAGTAGGAGTTGAAAGGCACCGAGGGCGGGTATTGAAAGCGAGGGGTGGGCGGAGAGATGCGACGGGCAAAGTCCTTAAGGATCCGCGTTCACCACGCCAACGCGGTCGTATGGGGACCAGTGTAAGAACGCACCGTCGTCTTCGACTCGAGCAGCCGCGACGCGATCACCTTCCGGACGCTCGTGGTCGGGACGTCCTCGTGCTCCTGCGCGCGAGGATCGCGTTTCGGCGGCGGCGCGGGAGGAGCCGGCGTTTTCGGCGTTTTCATCGTCGTCGTCGTCGTCGTCGTCGTCGCGACGTTCGAAGCGTTCGAAGAAGCCGCCTTCGGCGCATCGCAGAGCCCCATCGCGGCGAGGACGTCCCCCTTCACGAGCGCGCCTCGCGCGCCCGTGGGCGTGATCGTCAGCGGGTCTAACCCGCTCTCCGCGAGGAGCCTTCGGACGGACGGCCACATGCGGCCGCCGCTGAGATCCTCCCTTTTCTTCGAGACGGCTTTCGTCGTCGTCGGCGCGCTTCCGCCCGCCGCCGTCGCCGCCGCCGCCGTCGCCGCGTCTCGAATCGCTCCATCACCCCCACCGCCCCCGCTCGCCCCCGCCCCCGCCGGCGGCGCGTACCCCCCGAATGCGCCGACGTCCTTCTCCTCCTCGACCATGACGCCGATGACGACGCCGACCGGCACGTTCTCCGCGCCGGCGGCGACTGCGACGAGCGGTCGAGGGAATCCACGGGTCAGTACCGCGGGCGCGCGATTGGTGGAGTGGATATCATATCATTCACGCGCGTCAAAACGAACGTGAGGTTCACAGCGCGCGAAAGAAGTCCATCCTTAAGAAACGGCGTTCAACGCGCGTGCGGGGTCGTATGGGAAGCGGTCAGAGTCGGACTCACCGCAAATCTTCGCGAGAAATCCATCCTCCTGCGACTCGTGCGCCATCGTCGCCTTGTCCGTCTCGATTTGCGCGAGCGAGTCCCCCGCGCGCACGGCGCCGCCCTCCTCGACGTCCCAGGAGAGGATCCCGCCGTGGGTCATCGTCGGCGACAGCGCGGGCATGTGGATCTCCTGTGCGTGGATGGGGGGGGCGGGGTCAGGGCTGGTCGAAATGATTAATTAATATCTCGCTCTTCGGGCGCGACCGACCGAGCGATCGTTCGATCGTTCGACGGGAGCGATCGCGCGCGCACCGTGTGCGGCGGGAGCGTGGACATCGCGCGCCATAGCGGCCGCGGCGGCGGCGTTCTGCTCGCGGGTCCGACGCGCGCGGCGGCGGCGCGATGGAGGGCCGCGAGGCGGTGCAGCGTCCGCCGCATCGCGAGGTGCGCCGTTTGGGCGCGGCGGGAAATGACGACGCCGAAGCGACGCGGTAAGTTCACGCGAACGAACCTGATGACACCTGCCGCTGCGGCGGCCGGCCGCAAATCGCGACCTCGCGCGAGCGCGAGCGTTACGACGACGAGTCACACTACGACGGGGTGCCATGATTCGTTCGTCCTTCACTCGCCGCGGGCGCGCGTCGTCGCGCGCGGCCGCGGAGACGACGACGCGCTCGACGCGCGCGACGACGACGACGACGACGACGACGACGACGACGACGCGCGAGGAGCGGCGCGGCCGCGTCTAGCTCGGTCTCGCGGCGACGGACGACGACCGGAGGAGCGGGTGCCAAAACACAACAAACATCGCTCATCGATCCGTCCGATGGCAGCCTCGCCGCCGCGCCTCCCGCTGGACCTCCTCACGCCGACGACGAAGTCGACGCGCTCGACGCCGACGCCGACGCCCGCGCCGACGCCGCGCTTGGTCGTCGTCGACCCCGCGCGTTCCGAGTGCCCCCGCCGCGATCGCGCGTCGCCGCCGCGAAAGTCGAGTGTGCGCGAGATGTTGTCGGTCGCGCCGTCGAAAGTCGCGCTCAGGCGCGTTCTATACACTGGTCCCCATACGACATCGTTGGCGTGGTGAACGCCGATCCTTAAGGACTTTTCCCGGCGCATCTCTCCGCCCACCCCTCGCTTTCAATCCCCGCCATCGACGCCTTTCAACTCCCTCTGACGCCTATGAACTCCACAGTCTCAACGTGACGGACCCGCGCGAGGCGCGCGTCTTCACGCGCCTCTCTCGCGCGGCGTCGCTCGTCGACGCGCTCTCGGCGCGCGTCGTGCGGTGCGACAAGGTGGCGCACCGGCTGTCCATCGCGTGGCGGCGCGCGATGCGAAGCTTCCGAGGGAGTAGTGATGATAATAATGGACGAGGACGCGGTTTCCGCGGCGGTGAGACTGGACAGACTGCTTCCCATACGCTCCCGTTCGCGTTGTGCTCTTCGTTTCTCAAGGCTTTCTCTCGCGCGCCATGAACCTCACGTTTTGACACGTCGGAATTCTATCCACCAATCACATGCACACGCGACTGACACGTGTCTTCCCTCGACCAATGACGATATCGCAGGCGGCGGCGGCGACCCGACGTCGGCGCCGACGCTGACGCTTCTCGCGCAGTGCGGCGAAGTCAACGACCTGACGCGATCCAACGCGCGCGACGCGCTCGAGCGCGAGCGTTCGACGGTGCGGCGGATCGCGGGGACGCTGCGGCGGCACGCGGGGACGAACCGTATGCGCGCGCGGGAGTTGGCGGCGATGACGGCGGAGGCGGCGGCGGCGGCGGAGGAGGAGGAGGAGGAGGAGGAGGAGGACGGCCACGACGACGGCGACGGCGGCGGTGCGTTCTATCTCACACTGGTCCCCGTACGACCCCGTTCGCGTGGTGAACGCCGATCCTTAAGGACTTTTGCCGTCGTCTCTCTGCGCCCATCCCTCGCTTTCAATCCCCGCCCTCGACGCCTTTCAACTCCAACTGACGCCTATGAACTCCACCCCGATTTCGCTTTGAAAGGGAGGCCGCGCCGCCGCTCATCAGAGCTGCTGCTGCGCGATATCGTGACGCGCGCGAAGGAGGCGAAGGAAGACGCCGCGGTCGCGGAGGACGCGCTCGCGGCGCGGTGCGACGCGTGCGTCGCCGCCGCCGCGCGAGGCGCGAGCGTCGTCTCGACGCCGACGCCGACGCCGCCGGCGCTGCGGCGAGCGATGACGCTTATCAGAGGCGAAAGAGACGGGGAGGACACCTCGGCGCCTCCTCGCGAGGAGCGCGCGCGCGGCGGCGGCGGCGACGGCGACGATGAGGGCGTGAATGACGACGGGGAGGCGTTCGCGGAGGCGGACCACGCGAGGGGGACGAAACGGTCGAGGGACGAGCGTTTCGAGCCCCCGACCTCGTCGGCGCTCCCCGCGCTTCTTCTCCCCGCCGGCGCCGGCGGCGGGCTCTCCCTCCCCGGCTCGCTCGAGGTGAACGACCTCGCGCTCCTCGCGTTGAAAGGTCGCGACGACGACGACGAGGACGAAAACAAGAAGAAAATAAGAGTAACGGCCGCGAAGGATGCGTTAGAGATGATCGCGGAGTACGCGTCGCAGCCGTCGCCGTTTGACGACGACGACGACGACGACGAGGCGTTCGCGTTCGAGTCCACCGAACGCGTCTTAGAGTCCACGCCGAGCCTCGGCGAGCGGCCGGTCGCCGGCGACGACGACGCGGACCCCTTGGACGAGGACGCGTGCGAGTGCTACTCGCAGCCGCCGCCGCCGAGCGACTCCGTCTCCGACGATCGACGAGGCGAGGAGGAGGAGGAGGAGGAGGAGGAGGACGACGAAGTCCTTAAGGAACGGCGTTCACCACGCGAACGCGGTCGTATGGGAACCAGTCACGAGGAGGAGGAGGGCGGCGAGAGCGACGACAGCGGGTACGCGGGCGAGGCGGAGGTCTCGCAGCTCCTGTCGAGGACGGAGTCACAGCCGTGCGGCGGGCTCTTCGACGGCGTAGACTGACGCCGCGTGGTGAGCGCTCGCGTGGTGGGTTTCTCTGCCAGTATACAGTACGTGTACATAACAACCGACGATCGCGACGGCGGCGCCTCCGTTAAAAAAGTTTTTTTCATCCGAGAACGATACAGTACCCCCCTCGCGTCGCTCAGTCCGCCATCTCCATCCCGCACGCCATCATGTGCAACCCCGCGAAGACGTGATACCCGCGGTCCGCGAACGCGTCCAGGCTCTTCCTCAGCCCCTTCACCGGGACCCGCAGCACGGTGATGAACTCGCTCCCTTCAAGCTCCTGCTTCGGGGTCAAATTCTCCGGGGCGTCTGAGGTCGTTGCCCATACGAGCGATGATATCGGGGTGGAGTTGAAAGGCGTCAGAAGCGGAGTTGAAAGGCGTCGAGGTGTGTCGGGATCGAAAGCGAGGGACCCTGGGCGGCGAGATGCGCCGGATGAGAAAGTCCTTAAGGATCCGCGTTCACAACGCCGACGCGGTCGTACGGGGACCAGTGTGAGATAGAACGCACCTAAATCCACGACGCACCGAACGACGCACACGGTCTCGTCCGTGAGCCCCGGCGACAGCGGCAGCGCGGGCGTGGACGCGCCGCCGGGCGTGACGACGCCGACGTACCCAGTCTCTTCTTTTAACTCCCTCAGCGCGGCCGTTTCCGGGGCTTCGTCGCCGTCGATCAACCCCGCGGGAAGCTCGATCGTCTGACGACGACGACGCGACACGTGGAGGGACGCGATTGGTCAACACGGGTACACATACACGATGACGTGTCACATCTCGTGGTCGAGAATCGCGCGGGACCCAAAAGTTCTGTCCTTAAGGAACGGCATGCACCGCGCGAACGAACGGGGTTGTTGTACGGGGATCGGCGCGACGATAGAACGCTCTCGGAAGCGCACCTCGCCGTTCAGCGGCGGCCGAAACTGCCGCACCAGTAAGGTCGTGTCCTCCTCCCCCTTCTTCCGCAGCGTCGCGAAGACGCAGACCGCGTCCGCGCGCGCGCCGGGCGCGCGCGTCGACCGCGCGACCATGTCCCACGCGCGCTCTTTCCCCGTGGGGTCGACGTACGTGAGGTGTTTGAACTGCATCCACGGCGTCTTGTGAATGATCTCTTCGCCCGTCACCCTCGACCGCGAGGAGTCGAGGTCGTCCGCCATGACGCTGTCGCTCGAGGCGTCGCCGCGCTCGTCCACGTACAGAGGGCCGCCGGACGACGCGGACGAGGAAGAAGAAGAAGAAGAAGAAGCCGACGCGCGGAGTCCGCGAAGGCGACGAAGCGATCCGACCGGCTGCGCGCCCCTCCGATGAGAGTCTCCGTTCGGGGCGGAATGCGAGCCGCGGCGGAAGGGCGCGGGGGCGAAGCGCGCGGCGGACGCGGGCGAAGACGCGGACGCGGTCGACGACGACGACGACGACGACGCGCGGAGGACGGCGAGGGCGAACGCGGAGGAAGGACGCGCGATCGCTCGGCGCATGCCACTGTGACGACGAAGAGGCGCGCGGAGGTTGTTGACTTTGATATTCGTTTCTACAGTATCGCGCATAATAAATAAACCTAGTGTGTGGGGCCTAACTCGTCGTCACAACGCCGCGGAGGCGCCTCTTCCTCCCGCGCCCGCGGCTCTCAACGCCGCGACGAGCGCGGCGACGTCCTCGTCGCTGTGCGCCGCGCTCAACGTCACGCGCACGCGGCTGCTCCCGCGCGGCACCGTCGGCGGTCGTATCGCCGGCGCGTGTATGCCCGCGCGCAACAGCTGCGAAGAAAAGGTGGTCAGGGTCGGGTTCATCGGTCAGTCGGCGTCGAAACGGGGGATCAGCGATCGAACGTCGAAACCGAGCGGTGGGTGAAATGAAGATGAAGAGAAACGAACGCGCCCGAGTCGCCGTCGCCAACGCGGCGGCTTCTCCGCCGCGGTCCGCGCCGACGCCGCACGGCACGGGCACGATCGGCGAGCGGACGACGCCGGGACCGACGCCGCCGGAACCGGAACCGCCGTCGAGAGGCGGCGGCGGCAGAAAGCCCGCGCGCGCGTGATCCAGATGCGTCCGGTCGCCGCCGCCGCCGCCACCGCCGCCGCGCAAGGCGTCGTCCACGGTTCTCACGTGCCGCCACAGCTTCCGTCGCAGCGCGTCGCCCTCGCCCTCTCCCGCTCCCACTCGAAGCGCCGCGCTCGCGGCCGCGACGCACGGCGCCGGAAGCGCCGTGCTGTACACCTGCGACCGCGCGCGGCTCACGAGAAGACGCTTCACGTCCCGACGACACGCGACGAATCCTGGAGGGACGCGGAGGGAAGCGATCGGTCAGTCTGGTGCCAGCCATATAGAATGACGACGATGCATATCTCGTGGTCAGAGAGAAACGCGCGCGGGACCCAAAAGTCCTTAAGGTTCGGCGTTCACCACGCGAACGCGGTCGTATGGGGACCAGTGTGAGCGGAAACGAACCGCCGTGCGAGCCGAACGCCTTCGAGAGCGTCCCGACGTGGACGTCCACGCCCGCCCCGAGGCCGTTCATCTCGTCCACCCCGCACGCTTCCACGGCGCCGCCGCCGGTGGCACCGCACACGAGCGTCGCGTGCGCTTCGTCGACGATCAGTAACGTCCCAGGATGACGCGTTTTTAACGCTACCAACGCCCGTATGGGCGCGAAGTCGCCGTCCATGCTGAAGATGGAATCCGTGACGACGACGTTCACCGGTCAGTTGAAAGGGAACGCGATCAAATGTTGAAACCGAGCTATGGGTGAAAAACGTTTGTATAGAACGCGCCTGAAGATGGAATCCGTGACGACGACGTTCCGACGACCCCCCCTCCTCCCCCCACCTCTGTGACCGCCTCCTCCTCCGTCGCAGCGCGTCGTCTCATTCATCTTTCGCTCCAAGTCGTCCACGTCGCAGTGCGCGTACGTCACGACCTTCGCCCCCGACGTCCTCGACGCGAGTCGGCACCCGTCCACGATGGACGCGTGGTTGAGGGCGTCGCTGAGGGTCGTTCCGTACGAGCGAACGTCGGGGTGGAGTTGAAAGGCGTCAGGTGGAGTTGAAAGGCGCCGAGGGCGGGGATTGAAAGCGAGGGCTGGGCGGAGAGACACGCCGGGAAAAGTCCTTAAGGATCGGCGTTCACCACGCCGACGCGGTCGTATGGGGACCAGTGTAAGGGACGCGCCTGAATATCGTGACGTCGGCGCCGTCCGCGAGCGTCTGTAAGACGCCGCAGTTCGCCGCGTACCTGCGGAAGTGACGACGCGCGGATGGAGGAAGTGAATTGACGACACGTGGATGGAAGCGATTGGTCAGCGCGTGAAAAACCATGATGACATGGCACATTCTGCGGTCGATATTCGTTCGTTCGCGCGAACCGCGAACGCACCCCGACGGAAACAGCGCGCACTCCTCCGTCTTTTTCAACGCCGCCAGCGCCGTCTCCAACTCGCGGTGCTCGCGCGTGTACCCCGCCACGAGAGGCGACGACCGCGGCCCGCATCCGTGCCGCAGCGACGCGTCGGACGCCGCGGCTCGCACCGCCGGGTGCGACGACAGGCCGAGGTAGTCGTTCGAAGAGAAGAGCCGCAGGGAGCGCCAATGATCTTCACGCCTCCCCGACGCGTCGTCGTCGCCGCCGCGTCCTCCTCCTCCTCCTCCTCCTCCGTCGTGCGATTCCCCGAGGTCGTGCTCGCCGCAGAGCCACCGGCGCATCGTCTCCGGGGACACGCGCACGGTCATCGGAGAGGAGGAGGAGGACGCGGACGAGTAGGAGGGACCCGCGCGCGTCGTCGTCGTCGATTCGATCGATTCGGCTTCGGCGTCGAACGGCGCGACCGGCCGCAGGGACCGCGTCAGCCGCGACGCGTCCAGGGCGGACAGCGTCGATCGCGTCCACGCGTCCCACGTCGCGACGACGCCGCCTCCGCGAGGAGGAGGAGGAGGAGACGTCATCGCGGCGGGCGACGACGACGGCGGACGCCGCGCGCGCGAGATGCTCTCTGTGACCTAAAAACTAAAAACCTGTTTTTTTTTTCTCGAGAGTGCCGACCGCGAGACACACACACATCGCGCGCGCGCGCGTCCCCACGCGCGCGCCGCGCCCCTCCCCAACGAACGAATGCCCCCCCACCCACCGACCACGGCGTCCTTCGACGTCTTCGATCGCGCGCTGACCCTGCACGTCGACCCCGACGCGCTCAACGAGGCTGGCGTCGTGTGGCGCGACGCCGTCCGATCGCTCGCGCGCGTCGCCGCGCCGCGATGCCTGCGCGTCGCGGCGTCCGTCGAGGGGCTCTTCGCGCGCGACGCGCGCTGCGGCGTCGGCTTCGCGGGCGCGCCGCCGGTTCGCGTGCTCGAGCTCGGCGCGGGCACGGGCGCGTGCGGGCTCGCGCTCGCGGCGGTCGTGCCGCGCGCGACGTGCGTCCTGACGGACGTGGACGACGTCGTCGAGCTGACGCGGGTGCGATTGATGTTCATCAATTCGAAACTGCTTCCCATACGACCACCCGCGTCGCGCGTTGAACGCCGTTCCTTAAGGCGTTCGTTCTCTCGCGCGCCGTCGACCTCACGTTCGCGTCGACGCGTGGGAATGATACGCTATCAACCAATCACATGAGATCATGACTGACACGTGTCTTCACCTCGACCGCTCGCAGCGCAACGTCGCGTCGTTCGTCGACGGCGTCGGCGCGCCGGACGAAGTCGCCAACGGCCCGCTCGCGCCCGGGAGCGTCTGCGTCGCCGCGGCGCTGCGATGGGGTGAGTCGACGGAGGCGGCGGAGAGGGCGGCGGACGAGGCGGATGCGGCGGCGGCGGGGGGGGGGAGGAGGAGGAAGGAGGCGACGGACGTCGAGGAGGGCGATGAGAAGGAGAACGCCTACGACGACGAAAAAAATAATACAGGTAAGTCGCGGCGCGGGTGGGACTTCGTCCTCGCGTGCGAGACGCTCTACGTGCCCGGGACATGGGACCTGTTCCAGGAGGACACGCGCGGGCCGCTGTTGCGAACGCTCATCGAGGCGTGCTCGCGTTCGCGGAAGAAGAAAACGGTCGTCATGATGGCGTTTACCGTCAGGGACAAAGGCCGCGAGGTTGGCTGGGCGACTGGCGCGTTTGGAGAAAATTTTTGGATGCGGCGGCTGCGCGGCGGCGGCGACGACGACGACGACGACGACGACGACGACGACGACGACGACGAGACGACGAGAGCGAGGGACGCGGACGCGAGGGCGTCGCTGGAGGCTGCCGCGGAGGGCGACCTCGTGGTGTTGCGCGCGCGAGCCAAGCGTGAGGAAGGGGAGGAGGAGGAGGAGGAGGAGGAGGAGGTTGACCGGTAGCGGAGAGATATTCTTTGATGAGTCAGATGTGTCGGTTGTCAGCAGCGTCGCCTCTCAGGTCGTCTCGACTGTTCGGGACATCCAGTCACCAGTTCCGCGCGCGCCGTCCGTCGTCGTCGCGCGCCGCGACTCGGCGCGATGCAGCACCCGCGCGGGGTGACCGGGCTCGAGCCCGGGGTCTCGGTATGGCGGAAAGCCGACATCGGTGCGTCGTCGCGCCGTTCGCGCGCGCGTCGCCGCCGCGGACGCGCGGGTCCCGCCGTCGTCGTCGTCGTCGTCGTCGTCGTCGTCGCGCGAGTCAAAGTAGCCCGTTTCGCATCCGTCCCCCCTCCCTCCCTTTCGCTGACGCCGTCGCCGTCGTCATCGCAGACCGCCTCCCGAAGGACGAGCACCGCGCGATGGCCGCGCTCCTGGAGGAAGCCGGCCGCTTATCCGCGCGCGCGCAGGCGCTCCCGGCGCCCATCACGTCCCTGGTGCGCGCCGGCCCGCGCGTTCCTCTCCATCTTTCTTCATCCGTCCGTCGTCCCCCTCGTCTCGTCTCGACGTTCGATCTCGTCCCCGTCCCCGTCCCCGTCCCCGCCGTTTCCCCGTCGCCGACCGCGCGCCTCCCCCACCTCCCCGTCGTCATCGCGTCGTCATCATCATCGCAGGAGCGCCTTCACGCGGACCAGCGTCTGTACATCGCATCGCACGACGCGAGCGACCCATCGCGCGGGCCCTCCGTCGTTCTCGGCTTTCTCAAGGTTGGCGAGAAGCGCCTTTTCGTGTCGGATCCGCGAGGGAACACGGTCGAGATCGAGCCGTGCTGCGTCCTCGACTTTTACGTCCACGAGAGCTGCCAGAGAGGCGGCATCGGGAGCGAGCTGTTCGCGCGGTTCCTGGAGGAGGAAGACCACCGACCGGCGCGGCTGGCGTACGATCGTCCCTCGCACAAGCTCAAGAGCTTCCTGAGGTGCGTTCTATCTCACACTGGTCCCCATACGACCGCGTTCGCGTGGTGAACGCCGATCCTTAAGGACTTTTAACCCCGGCGTTTCTCTCCGTCCACCCCTCGGTTACAATCCCGACACACCTCGACGCCTTTGAACGCCAACTGACGCCTTTCAACTCCACCCCGATATCATCGCTCGTCAGGAAACACTTCGGTCTCGTGAGCTTCTCGCCGAACGCGAACAACTACGTCGTGTTTCGCGACTACTGGGACGCGCCGCGGAGGCCGCACAGCGCCGCGCGGACGACCGCCGCGGAGCAAAAGAGCGCACAGCGCGCCGCGCCGGACAACCGCTGGGCGCCGGTCTCGCAGCGGCCGCTCACGGCGAACGGACGGAAAGGGAGGTTGTTCGGGTTTGGTCGAGGCGGGAAGAATAAAAACGCCGTCGCGCCCGCGGGGACGCCGTCGCGGTCGCCGCCGACGAATCCGAACGCGCCACGTGGCGGTGGATTCGGCGGCGGCGGAAGCGGCGGCGAGTATTCCACCTCGAACCCGGAGTCGCTGTCGCCCGTGGCGAGGGATTTCGCGGGCGCGAACGCGGCGAGGCTGCGCGCGGCGGCGGCGGCGCGAGGCGGCACCGGCATGGCGGACGTCTTCGGCGGCGGCGGCGCCGCCGCCGCCGCCCCCGCCGCCGTCCCCGGCATGAGCGGCGGGCGAAGACCCGGGCGGCGGTTCGAGGTTGGCGGCGGCGGCGGCGACATCGGCGCCGGCGCGATGCACGCGGTCCCGCCGTCGTACAGGCGCGTTCTATACACTGGTCCCCATACGACCCCGTTCGCGTGGTGAACGCCGTTCCTTAAGGACTTTGCCCGGCGTGTCTCTCCGTCGCTCTCGTCCAATCAAACATCCACTTCATCAAATAACTAACCAATCACATCAATTCCCGCCACATCACCCACCAATCAACCGCCGTCGTACAGGAACCAACAAGAGCGCGAGTTGGAGGAGCAGCGGCGGCGGCGGTCGCAGATGACGCGAGCGGCGGAATCGGCGCGTCGGGAGGAGGAAGAGGCGTCTTCTGCAGAGCGCGCCACGCGGGAGCGGGAGAGCGAGGCGGCGCGGGAGCAGATGCAGAGAGCGCAGTCGATGCAGCGCGGCGGCGGCGGCGGCGAAAGCGGCCGACAAGGCGGGGACGGCGCGGCGTCGTCGCAGTCGCAGTCGCAGTCGCAGTCGCAGTCGCAGTCGCAGTCGCAGTCGCAGTCGCGAGGCGGCGTGTGGGACGCGTCGCAGCTTCGCCCGCCGTCGCAAGAGCCGAGGCCGCCGTCGCGCGGAAGGGCGGACGCCGCGGAGAAGAGGCAAAAGTACTTCGCGGATCTCGCGCGGAGGCAGCACGCGCGCGAGTCTCAAGAGCTTCGAGAGCGGCTCTCCAGACGCGCAGAGAGCGAGATGGATCAGAACGACCCTCGTCGATCGTCGCCGCCGCGACCGGCGACGCCGCCGGAGGTGCGCCAGCGCCGAGAGATGGCGCGCGAGCGCGAGGAGCAGAGAGAAGAGATGGAGCGCCGCAAGCGCGAGATGCTGAAGCAGCCGATGACGGCAGCGGATAGGGAGCGCGAGCTCGTCCAGGCGCGTCCTCATCACACCGGTCCCCATACGACCGCGTTCGCGCGGTGAATGCCGATCCTCAAGGACTTTCTCTCACGTCGTCTCTCTCCGCCCAGGGTCCCTCGCTTTCAACGCCCGACCCTATGACGCCTTTCAACTCCGCTTCTGACGCCTTTGAACTCGCGCGTCCAGGCGGAGATGGCAGCCAACGCGCGTCGGCTGTCGCAGCAGACGATCGAGTCCGCGAACGCCAGGGCGAACGCCGCGGACCCCTCCCTCGCCGCCCTCTCCCCGCGGTCGCGGCAGCAGAAGCTCTACCTCCGCGACCTCGAAGAGCAGATGCGGCGGCGCCCCCCGGACGGAGGCGGCGTGTCCACCGGCGCGATCGCGGGGCGACGCGCGCCGTCGTACGTCCCACCGGACGACGGGCTGGACCGCAAGACGCAGCTCGAGGTGCTGCGAAGACAGCGGCGCGAGCGCGCGAGTCAAGCCGAGGCGGCGGCGACGCGCGCGGCGATGGACCGCCAAGCGCGCGAAGACAAGGCGCGTTCACGTGATTCACACTGGTCCCCATACGACCCCATCGGCGTGGTGAACGCCGTTCCTTAAGGACTTTGCCGGGCGCATCTCTCCGCCCACCACCCCTCGCTTTCAATCCCGACACACCTCGACGCCTTTCAACTCCGCTTCTGACGCCTATGAACTCCACCCCGACATTCGTCGCTTTGTATGGACCCTCGACCCAAAGGCGAACGAAGAGCGCGCGCGAATGGCGCGCGAGCGAGCGGAGCAGTGGGAGCGACGGAAGGACGCGGAGAGCGAGGCGCTGGGGCGGATGCAGAGGGAGGAGCAGCGACGGCTCGCGACGCAGCGGCCCGCGGGCGCGGCGGTCAGGCGGGACGTCGATCACGAGGGCGAGTTTGATCCGCGGAACCCGCCGCGGCACGGCAGACGCGCGGCGGCGCCGCGGCTGTCTGAATACCCGTACGACACCAGACAACAGCAATACCAGCAGCACCAGGGGCGGTCGATGGAGGAGGAGGACGAGAGGGAGGCGCACGCGAGGCACCAGCATGCGATGCAGCAGCGAGCGTACGCGCAGCGACAACAGCATGAACAACAGCAGGGCGGCGGCGGCGGCGGCGGCGGCGACAGTCGCCGGGAGCAGCTCTTGCGGCAGATGCAGGGTCGGCAGATGCGGCCGCCTCAAGGAGGAGGGCAACAACACCACCAACAACACGACGGCGGCGGCGGTCGCGACGACGAGGAGATGGAGTACCGTCGGCAGATGTACGCGCGGCAGCAGCGCGCGGAACAGATGGAACAGATGGAACGGCAGAGCCGCGGCGGCGGCGGCTGCGGCGATTTCGTGCCGTCTCGCGCCTTCCAAGGCCCCCGCCCCGGGTACGTCTTCAAGAGCGGCGACCGCGGGACCGGGTACTACGCGGACATGGTCTCCGCGCGGCAGCGCTCGCGCGAGGGCGGCGACGACGCGCGCGGCGCGCGCGAGGAGAGCGACCGGAGACGCGCGCAGCAGAGTCAGCAGAGCCAAGAGGAGGAGTATCACATGCGACGGCGGCAGCAGATGCAAGAAGAGATGCGGCGTGCCGAACACGAGACGCAGCGGCGCGGGCATCATCACGGCGGCGGCGCTGGGATGGCGGCCGCGTCCAAGGAGAACTACTCTCAACATGGCGCCCAAGGAGGGGCGTACAACTCCGGGGCGTACAACTCCGCCGCGGAGGAGATGAAGCGCGCGCGGGAACGGATGACGTCGCACGCGGATCAGCGGGGGGAAGCGCCGGCGAGGTACGGACGACGCGCGGCGCATCCGCCGGGCCATGGGCAGGGGCTGCGGGCGTATTAGTGGGATGGGATGAGAGTCTAGCTAGGGTCTGCTAGCTAGTACAACTAGGGGTTTTTGTGTGTTTGGGGTTTCAGCAGCGATGATGCGTGTGATGGATATCCTCTGTCCGTCGATCGGTCGCTCGTCGCGCGGGCGGAGCAACCGAATTATCATTTATTATTCCCAACGAACACGAAAAAATGATCTCGGGACTCGCGATGTCGACTCCACAGATCTCGTCCGCGCGCGGCGGCGCACACGGCGGCGGCGGCGGCGGCGCGGGCCCGCACCTCCCTCCTCGCGCTTCCCATCCATAACACCGCGCCCGCCCTCCCATCATGCCCAAGCAAAAGTTCAACAACTACGACATCCGCGCGGAGGTGGCGTGCCTCCGCGCGCGCCTCGTCGGGACCTGGCTCACCAATGTGTACGATCGCGACAAGACGTCGTTCGTCTTCAAGTTCACGCGGAGCGGCGGCGCGACCGAGAGCGGCGAGGGCGAGAAAATCAACGTCGTGATCGAGAGCGGGACGCGGTTCCACTGCACGTCGCACGCGAGGGCGAGCGCGAGCGGCGGCGGCGGCGGAAAGGCATCTTCGACCGATCAGCCGTCAAAGTTTAACGCGAAACTGCGGATGCATCTCCGAGGCAAACGCCTCAACGCGATCGATCAGATCGGCTCCGATCGCGCGGTCGACTTTACGTTCTCGTCCGGCGACACCGAGCACCACCTGATCGTGGAGCTGTACGCGCAAGGGAACGTGCTGCTGTTGGACAAGGACGACGTCGTGTTGACGTTGCTTCGCACGCACCGGGACGACGACAAGGGGGTCAAAATTTTAGGTAATCATCGGTACCCGCGCGAGAGGTTCCGCACGCACAAGCGCGTCACGTTGCACGACCTCGAGGGCGCGCTGGTGGGCAGAGCGCGCGGTGAGGACACGCTGGCGGGCGCGGCGGCGGATTCGAATTCGAATTCGAATTCAAATTCGACAGCTACAGACGCGGCGGCGGCGGCGGCGGCGCCGCGCGCGCCCGCGACGTTGCGAGAGGCGCTGTGTAAGGGGTTGGGACAGAACCCGCCGCTCGTGGACCGCGCGGCGAAGCTCGCGGGGCTTCCGATGGGCGGGAACACGCCGCTGCCGCTGAAGGAGGATTCGAGTAGTTTGAATTCAAATTCAAACGCGACAGCTCCGGTCGTCGAGCGGCTGCTTCGACAGCTGTCCGTCTTGGACGACTGGTTCGAGGGCGTCGGCGACGGCTCCGCGGTGCCGACCGGCGTCGTGACGCGGCGACGCAAGCCCGGGGCGACGGGAGACGACGACGACGCGTTCGTCGTCGACGACTTCAGCCCTCTGCCACCGATCGACGCGATCGATTCAAATGCAAATTCGACAGCTACAGACGACGACGACGCGCGCGTGCAAGCCTATGAATCCTTCGACGACGCGCTCGACGCCTACTTCGCGTCGTTCGAGACGCAAGCCGCGACGCGCCAACGCGAACGCGCGGAAAAAGCCGTCGTCGACCGACTCGAAAAGGTGCGTTCTACACACTGGTCCCCATACGACCGCGTTCGCGTGGTGAACGCCGATCCTTAGTGACTCTCTCTCCCGGCGGTTCTCTCCGCCCAGGGTCCCTCGCTTTCAATCCCGACACACCTCGACGCCTTTCAACGCCGCTTCTGACGCCTTTCAACTCCACCCCGACGTCGCTTCGTATCGAACGCTGCCGAAGGTGCGCAAGGACCAATCGCAGCGCGCGGCGGCGCTCGAGCGCGAGCGCGAGGCGGACGAGCTCCGCGCGACGCTGATCGAGTACAACTTGGAGCGCGTCGACGTGGCGCTGGCGGCGGTGAACAACGCGCTCGCGGGCGGGATGGGCTGGGGCGATTTAGAGATCATGATTCGCGAGGAGACGAGAGCCGGGAACCCGGTGGCGGGGACGATCAAGAGTTTGGACTTGGCGAACAACAAGATCACGGTGACGCTCGCGAACCACCTCGACGACGACGAGGATGACGAGGACGAGGAGGAGGAGGATGGGGAGGATGAGGATAAGGATGGGGACGAAGACGACGCGGGCGAGGGCGACGACGAGAAGAGCTCCGAGCGGAAACGAAAACAACAACAGAAGAAACTGCGACGGAAGAGAAGAAAAGCCGTCGCCGTCGAGCTCGACCTGTCGCTGTCCGCGTACGCCAACGCGCGGACGCACTTCGAGAAGAAGAAGAAGCACGCGACGAAGCACGACAAGACGCTCGCGCAGACGGAGCGCGCGGTCGCGGCGGCGGAGAAGAAGGCCAAGGCGGACTTCGCGCGCGTGCGGGCGCGTCCCACACACTGGTCCCCATACGACCGCGTCGGCGTGGTGAACGCCGATCCTTAAGGACTTTTCCCGTCGTCACTCTTCACCCGCGCTTCCCTTTCAACGTTTGACCGGTACGTAAGACGTTCGACTGACCGATCGCTTCACCCACGCAGGCGACGGCCAAGGGCGAGGCGACGAAGACGCGAGAGACGTTTTGGTTCGAGAAATTTTGGTGGTTCGTCACGACGGAGAACTGCCTGGTCGTGTCCGCGCGCGACGCGGCGCAGACGGACGCGATGTTGAAGAAATACGTGAGCCGGGACTCGGACGCGATCGTGCACGCGGACGTCGCCGGCGCGCCGCTGACGCTCGTGAAGGCGCCGCCGGGGAGCTCCGTCGTCGTCGGCGGCGGCGGCGGCGGCGGCGGCGCGGGATGGTGCAACGGCGTGCCTCCCGCGTCGCTCGCGCAAGCCGGGGCGGCGTGCCTGTGCCGCTCGAACGCGTGGGACTCGCGGCAGGTGATCAGCGCGTGGTACGTCAAGCCGGAGCAGATTCGGAAGGAAACGCCCGAGGGGGAGCCGTTACTAAACGGCGTCGTGTGGACCGTGGGAAAGAAGACGTTTCTTCCCCCGGCGCCGCTCGTCATGGGCTTCGCGTACATGTTCGTCTTGGGGGACGACGCGAGCGTGGAGGCGCACGCGGGGGATCGCGTGGTGAAGCAGCAGATGGCGGCGCTAGGTAACGCCGACGGCGAGGGCGTTACAGAGGACGCGGAAGAGGAGGAGGAGGAGGTGGAGGAGGAGGTTGTCGAGAGTGTCGAGGTTGAAGACGACGCGACCCCCGACGACGCCGACGCCGACGCCGACGCAGACGCCGCGCCGGCGCCGTCGTCGAGTCGATTAGAAGCCTTCTTAGACGGCGGCGTCGACTTCGCCGCCGCGAGGATGGACGCGATGTCGTTAGAGGAGGAGACCAAGGCGGCGGGGGAAAAGGGAGAAGACGCAGAAGCCTCAGCCTCGGCGCCGAAGGAGGGCACGAAGCGCATGTCCGCGAAGGAGCGCCGCGAAGCGAAGAAGAAGCGCGACAAAGCGGCGGGCGGCGGCGGCGGCGACGACGACGACGACGTGGACGTGGAGGTGGACGACGACGACGATGACGACGACGCGCGACGACGCGGGGGGAAACAGAAACAGAAACAGGAACAGGAACAGAAACAGGAACAGAAACAGGAACAGAAACAGAAACAACGCGAGAAGCGCGCGCCGCTTCCTCGCGGCAAGTCGTCCAAGGCGAAGCGCGCGCAGGCGAAATACGCGGACCAGGACGACGAAGACCGAGAGCTCGCGATCGCGCTCATGGCCGCCGCGGGGGGTAAAGGCGGGGGCGGCAAGCGCGGTGGTGGTAAGAAGGGCGGCGGCGGCGACGGCGACGGGTCAGACGGCGACGGCGACGGCGGTCGCGAGCGCGCGGCGGCGACGCGGGAGCGGAAGCAGAAGCAGAATCGCGCCGAGCGGAAGCAGAAGCCACCGAGCGACGACGCGGACGACGCCGCCGCCGATGGCCACCACGGGCGTCATGACAGCAACGACGCCACCAGCGCGACTCCGGTCGCTACTGCGCCGCCTTCGTACCTCGCGGATCCGACGCCGGCGTCGACGGAGGAGAACGACGCGCGCGCGTCGCTCGCCGATCGCCTCACCGGCGCGCCGCTCCCCGCGGACGTTATAACGCACGCGATCCCAATCGTCGCGCCGTACGCGGCGCTTCAGACGTACCGGTACAAGCTGAAGCTCACGCCCGGGAGCCAGAAGAAGGGCAAGGCGGCGAGGCAGGCGATGGACGTGTTGCGGAGGGCGCCGGCGGCGCCGCCCGGGAGCGGCGAGGAAGTAAAAATATTGGACGCGCGATCGCGGGATATCATGTCCAAGACGGACGGCGGCGTCGGCGGGGACGTCGCGCAGATCATGTGCGGCGGCGGCGTGAAGATATCCCTTCCCGCGGGCGCGGCGAAGGCGATGAACGCGCAGAGGAAGGGCGGCGGCAAGGGCAAGGGCGGCGGCAAGGGGTGACGAGACGACGACCGACGGCACAAAAGAACTCTAGAGACAACTTCAGTCGTCTCACAACAGATAACAGATCATCAAAACGAAATACCCAAAATACATACTGTACGCCCACCCTGCTCTCCCTCTCGTCGCCCGCCCACGTCGCGCGACGCTCACCACGACGTACTGTAGGCTACCTCCCGCCGCGTCGCTGGTCCATCGCCGCGGCGTCCATCATCGCGTTCAGCTCGTCGTTCTGATGAGGGGCATTCCATACAAAAATAGTTCATCGGTCAGTTGAAAAAAGACGCGATCAAATGTTGAAACCGGGCGATGGGTGAAAAACGTTTGTAAGAACGCACCTGAACGTTCTCCACCATCCCTATGCCCCTCGCGTTTCTCGCCATGTTTCGAATGCTCACCGCCGCCCTGTCGGTCGTCGAGGAAGGGGTGAAAGCGACGTATCTATCGGTCAGTCCACCGGGACGGTCGCGGTCGAACACGTCCATCTCGAAACCGAGCGGCTGGCGCGGGTTCGAAGGAAGGAACGACGTTCAGCGGAAGCGGTCTCGAAAAGAATCTCTCATCTCACCTGTCCGCGCACTGCTTCTCGAAGTCCGTGGTCACCGAGTACAGCGTCGTGACGACGAACGCGCACCCGCCGAAGACGACCATGAGCCCGATCAGCGCGAACGGGTTGGCGTACAGAGGCGTCAGCGCGATGAGAACGCCGCCGAACGCGCTCCAACCGCCGAGGAACAACGACAGCACGGGCAGTTCCACGAAGCCTCCGAACTCGTGGAACCACCGCGGCAGGTTCTGTGCGGGCGGTGAGTGGTCGAGGGGAGACACGTGTCATTTACGAAGGGATTTGATTGGTGGACGGCATGTACACGTGTCAAAACGAACGTGAGGTTCACGGCGAAGAATGTCACCTGCGGCGCGCACTTGGACACCTTGTTGAGGAGTATGGTCCCGCTGAACGCCGCCGTGCTGTTGAACGCGAACGCCAGGGACCACGTCACGGAGTACGTCGTCGTCCACGGGTCGCCCGCGCTGAGCACGCTGTTTACGGGGAATAAGATCGCGAAGCCGCTCAGGGACGCGAACAGGCCGGAGAGAAGGACGGTGTTCTCCCACAGTCGCGACGCGGCTTCGCCGACGCCGCTGCAAATGATGGGCGGATGGTGATGACGCGGAGGGACGCGGTTGGTCAGTCGTCGATGACGTGGCACAACGTGTGGTTGGCCGTCGTCGCATGGTTGGACGCGGTCGATAGAATACGACCATGCGATGCGAAGACGGGCGCGCGCGCGCCTGAAACCCTGGAACCCGCTGAACGGGAGCCACCACTTCAGCCCGAACGTGAAGTGTTTACGAAGCGAATCGATGCTCGCGAGGTCGTCGCTGAGGGTCGTTCCATACAAAGCGATGTCGGGGTGGAGTTCATAGGCGTCAGGTGGAGTTGAAAGGCGTCGAGGGCGGGGATTGAAAGCGAGGGGTGGGCGGAGAGACACGCCGGGAAAAGTCCTTAAGGATCGGCGTTCACCACGCGAACGCGGTCGTATGGGGACCAGTGTATAGAACGCGCCTGAGCGTGCCCTTCGAGACGACGCGCCGCGGCGCCGGTCGCGGCGGTCGCGCGCCGGTCGGGCCGGGCTCGAGCGCGCCGCCTCTATCGCCGTCGAACGCGGGGACGAGCGCGACGTCGTCGTCGTCCGAGGCGGCGGCGACGACGCGGACGCGATGCCCCGCGGCGACGCGACCAGTAGGGGAGAAAGTTGACATTCTTCGCGATTCCGTCGTAGTCGTCCATCGGAACGGCCGTCGAGGCGCCGCCGCCGCCGCCGCGCGCGTCGGCTCGCCGCGACGCTTCGGTCGACGGCAAACGGCGGCTTCCGCGGACGGCGCGGGAAGCGCCGCGCGCGAGAGGACGAACATCGTGCCGAACGACGACGCGCGGCGTGCGGTATGCGGCGCGCGACGGCAGCGGAGGTCGTTCGTTATCGATATCTATGACACACGACGACTGCGACTCGGCACTTCCGTCGCGAACGCCCCTACTCCCCGCCATCGCATCTCATCACTCGCTCGCCGCGCGCCCGTCGCGATGGCGCCCGCGTCGCCGCGTCGGAGCGCGCGACGCCGCCAGGGCGTCGACGAGTTCGGAAGAGCGCTTCGCGACCGCTCGCCGAGCCCGGAGAGCCCGCCCCGGCGCGACGCGCGCGACGGGTACACGTCCAGATCCGCGAGCCCCCGTCGGCATCATCATCGTCGTCGCCGCGCGTCGCCGCCGCCGTTCGAAAGAGACGACGCCTCGCGCCAGCAGCAGCGCGGGCTCGGGTACGCCGAGCCCGAAGGATGCCGCGACGGTCACGACGACGACCGCGACGACGCGCCGAACGCGCACAGAGCGGACGGGCTCCTCCGCGCGGGGCCGCGCGATGATGGCATTCATCGGCGCGGCGACCAGCACGACCGTCGTCGCGGCCGCGATGATGAGATCTCGTCGTCGAAGAGGAAGCGCGGGGGGAGCCCGTCGCGCTCGACGCGCGCGATCCCGGAGGAGGCCGCCGCCGGTTCGATCCCCGCCGACGCCGCGATGCCCGCGGAGGGGCCCGGGCGGCACCAGGCGCTCATGCCGCCGCCGCCGAAGCCGCGACGCGTCAGGGATCCGATCGTCAACCTCGGGTGGACCGCGGAGTCGGGGATCGCGGGGTACAGGCGCGTTCTCATCCATCACACTGGTCCCCGTACGACCGCGTCGGCGTGGTGAACGCCGATCCTTAAGGATTTTATTATCTCCCGGCGGCGCATCTCTCCTCCCAGGGTCCCTCGCAACTTTCAACGCCCGCCCTCGACGCCTTTCAACTCCGCCGCTTCTGACGCCTTTGAACTCCACCCCGAAATCATCGCTCGTACGGACCCTCGACCCTCAGACAGCGGCCGGAGATCAAGGACGTCAGCGGCGCGTCGCTGGACGAGAGGACGCTGGTACCGCTGAGGGAGAGTTTGGAGGAAGAGCGGAGGAAGGCGAGGGAGGAGAAGGAGGTCGCGCTCGAGGCGGCGAGGAGGGTGAGTTTGGTAGGCGGCGAAGGAGAGGGCGGAGAAGAGGCAGAAGAAAAAAACCAAAAAAACCAAAAGGACCAAAACCAAAACGCCGCCGCGGGCGCCGCCGCCGCCGTCGATCCCATGGCGCTCCTCGAGGCGATGCCGAAGAAGCAGCGCCTCGGCGGCTCGCGCGGAAAAGCCCTCCGCGAGGAGCTGCGGCAGTTCGGGAAGAGCGAGCGGAGCAAGAACGAGGGCGTGGACGAGCGCGCGCGGAGGGATCAGGCGGCGCGTCTGGACACGTCCAGAAGGGCGGTGACGGCGGCGTTGGAGAGAAAAGCGAAGCTGTACGAAAAGTTGAGCCGCGGGGATTTCGGCGGGGACGACGTCGACGTCGCGCGGTTCGACGTGGACTTCGAGATGAAAGCCAGGGAGGAGAGGCGCTTGAGGGAGGAGAGTGCGAACGATAATCGTAACGGTGACGCGTCGACGGTTACGGGAGCGGCGGAGGGCCCGCGGCGGACGACTTCGAAGCCGTGGAAACCCGTCGTCGCGCCGAACGGAAAGACGTACTACTGGAACGTGATCGACGGCGCCACGACGTGGTGCGTCCTGTCATCACACTGGTCCCCATACGACCGCGTCGGCGTGGTGAACGCCAATCCTTAAGGACTTTGCCCGGCGCATCTCTCCGCTCACGCCTCGGTTTCAATCCCCGACCTCGACGCCTTTCAACTCCATCTGACGCCTATGAACTCCACCCCAGGACGCTGCCGCCGCGCGGGACGATCATGGACGTCGTCGACGACGACGCGTGGAACCCCAAAGGAAAAGACGACGGTCATCACGGCGACGACGGTCATCGCGGCGGAAGAAGAAAGAAGAAGGAAGCGTTGCACTACGCAGGCGAAATCTCCTACACCGAGCGCGAAGACCGTCGGAGGCGAGCCATCGAGGACGAGGCGCGACGCCGCGCCGAGACGGGGGACTGGCGCGACGACGACGGCGACGGTGACGGCGGCGGTCGCCCCCCGCGCGTGGACTACGTCGCGAAGACACGGGAGGAGGAGGAGGCGGAGGAGGAGAAGCGCGAGGCGCATCGCGCGGCGATTCGGAGGATCAACCACGAGACGGAACGCGCGAGGGAGGCGCACCGGGTGAAGGTGGAGAGCGAGCGGTGAGACTGCTTCCCATACGACCCCGTTCGCGTGGTGCACGCCGTTCCTTAAGGACTTTTCCCGTCGTCAATCTTCACCCGCGCTTCCCTTTCAACGTTTGACCGGTAAGACGTTCGACTGACCGATCGCTTGACCCACGCAGCGAGCGAGAGAAGGCGGCGTTCGTAGCGCGGAAACTCGGGTGGGATCCGAGCGCCGCGCCGGGGTTGCTGGCGTCCATCAAGAACAGCGCGGAGTACCGCGCGATGATGATGGAACGGAGTACCGCGCGGGTCCCGGATCGGAAGGATACGACGGAAGAAGAAACGCCCGAGGGGGAGCCGTTATTACCGGGGGACGCGCGCGCGGAGGCGGAGAGCTTCTTGGAGGGGCTCGCGAACGGCGAGTAGCTAGTCTAGCGACGACGAGCGCGCGCCTGCCTTTCAACTCCGACCGACGCCCGCCTTTGAACTCGAACAACGAACAACTCCACCCCGACGACGTCGCCTCCCTCGCGTGGAACAGCCCTCCAGCCTCTCTCAGTCTTCGTCGCTGTCGGAGAAGATGGCGCCGCCGCGGCGCACCGTCTTCGCGGCGACGGGCGCGGGCGCGGTGGGCTGAACAAACTCGTCGTCGTCCTCTTTCTCTTCCTCCTCCGCCTCCGCGTCGCTGTCGAAGAAGACGTCTTCCGGTTTCGCGTCCTCCTCCTCCTCCTCCTCCGCCGGCGCCGCCGCGGGCGCGGGCGCGGGCTTCGGTCTCGGAGGCGTCGTCGTCTTCTTCTTTTGTTTCATCGGAACCACTTCCTCGTCATCGTCGTCGTCCTTCTCCTCCTCTTCCTCCTCCTCCTCCTCGTCCTCGTCGCTGCCGCCGAGCTCCTTCAGCCCCTTCCCCTTGAGCGTCTTCTCGAAGTCATCGTCGCTCGCGTCGTCGTCGTCGCTCTCGCTGCTGCTGCTGCTGCTGCTCTCGGTGCCGCTCCCCTCCTCGCTCTCCTCCTCGCTCGCGGTGCCGCCGGCGGCTTCTTCGCCTTCTTCTTCGCCTTCTCTCTTCGTCCGGGGTCGCTCCTCCGGGCTTCTCGTCTTCTTCCGCTTCTTCGTCTTGTCTCTCTTGCCGTTCAACGCGGCGTAGTCGATCTTCTCGCCCCACTGGTTCGTCGTCGCCGCCGCGCGTCGTCGACCGCCCTCGACGATGTTGCTGGCGTCGATGCCGTCGAGGTCCTTCTCTTTTTCTCTCCGCGCCTTGACGCGACCGATCGCCGCCGCGTCTGGACGTGTCGTGACATTTGTCGGGATGGGATTCGTCAGTAAAATCGTTAAGCGTTCGGGGGCCAACGAGAACAGAGAGAAGCGAGGTGACGTGGACGATCGCGCGGTCAGGAACGCACCCGAGCGAAGCGACAGCCCCGCGTCGGCGAGGATGCCGGCGAGCGCGTCTTCTCTCGCTTCGTCCGTCTTGTGCTTCATGAAGACGTGCTGGTACGTCAGGCCCGCGCGCTTGCACACGTCTCGGAGCTTCGCGGTCGTCGCGGACATCGGCGCGGCGGCGGCGGAGGACGGTTTCGGTTTCGGTTTCGGTTTCGGTTTCGGTTTCGTCGTCGGTCTCGGCGCGGTCTTCTTCTTCGACGCCTTAGCCATCTTCCGCTTCTTCGCCCTCGACGCGTCGTCGTCTTCCGAGGCATCGTCGGAGGCGTCGTCCGAGGCGTCGTCAGAGTCGGAGCCGGAGCCGTCGTCCTCCTCCTCGGACTCCTCGTCCGTCTCCTCCTCGGACGCCGCCGCCTCCTCCTCCTCCTCGTCGTCGGAGTCGTACTTCATCCGGCGCGGCTTCGACGGCTTCGAATGAGAGCGCGACGCCGACGACCCCCTCCGCTCCTTCTGAAGGTGCTTCAACACCGCGGGGGACACCTTCTTCTTCGAGCTCGTCGGCGGCGTCTTCGCCTTCGCCTTCTTCTTCGCGACCACTCCCGCGTTCTCCTTCTCCCCCTCCTCCCCATCATCCTCCTCCTCCGCGCTCGCGAGGACGCGGTCGACGTACTTGCTCACCGTCTCCTTGTGCGCGTCGAGCGCTCTCTCGTCGAGCGCGAGATCTCGTTCGATGAGCCGTCGCGCGAGCTTCATCGTGAGCGTCGCGGAGGACTTGAGGAAGTACTCCTTGCGGGCGTATATCGCGCGCTTGATGGACGCGGGGTGCGTCGGCGACATGACGATGGCGATCGATTGATTCGCGGGGAGGGCGGCGGGTGGGGCGACGGGGGGCGGGGCGACAGGCGGCGCGTCGGATTTTAAAATCAGAGATGGTGCGTCAGCGAGATCAAGACAAGACAGCCAACCACGCGAGTACTACTGTACTCGTAGCGCGCGAGAACACATCGCGGCGCGCGGAGGGAGGACGCGCTTCGCGCTTCGCGTCGGTCGAGTCGCGCGGGGTTCATCCTCCTCCTCCTTCTCCTCGCGGCGATGCTGTCGTTCGACGCGTTCGCGGCGCGCGTGCGGCCGCACGCGTGCGACGACGGCGGCGGCGGCGACGACGACGACGCGACGGAGAAAAGCGGCGGACATCACCATCCGATGCCCCATCTTCGTCCATTACCTCCGTCCTCCTCCTCCGCGCCGCCGCCGCCGCCGCTGCTCGCGACGCTGGACGACGCGTACGACGTGTACGTCAACGCGCACGGCACGGGGCTGTGGTTCGACGCGAACCCGCTGTGGGAGCCAAAAGTGGGGTGCTACTACCTCCGCCTGGAACCGGAGAAGGCGCCGACGCGGACGCGACGCGTGAAAGACCGCGAGCTCGAACGGCGGCGCCGATCGACGATGGGGTCAACTTCGGTCGACGCGGGGGATCCTCAGAGTCACC